TTCTTGTTCTATAAGATCGGTAACTTCCATAAATAGCTAAAAAAGTAAATGATTCATAACCGCATCGGACCTACGATTGCATATAATTTCCGATATCTAATCTAAATTAACTTAATTTTGCATAACACAATGTATGGTAGAAAAATAGCGAGTTGCTTTTCCTCTAAGAAATTATATTTATTAATTTTCATAGTAGAGACTTACATGGGTATATCTACGAAGCTAAAGGTTATCAAAACCCTAGCTGTTTCACACAATAAAGAATAATAAGGGAGTGTTTCAATCGTAACTTCCTACTTGAACACTTCTAAGAAATAGTATAAATCTAAAAGGCTAAAAGCAATTTGACTCCTACCCTCAATTTAAGCTCCACAAACTAAACAAACATTGACAAGCTAAAATCAACTATGGACTAGCTTTGGAGAACGTAACAAAGAAAAAAAGGAGCAAGAAGCAAAAAAAAAAAAAATGTAATTGACATATACAAGATTTAAATTCATATATTATAGCGAGTAAAAGGATCATCGACTTTTTAAAGCTATAAAGGATCATTCTATCGTCGGTAGGTAATTATATTGTAGGCTAATAAGAGAGCCATGAAAATTCATTTTGAAAATTTGAAATGGATAAATTTACTAAATTACAGTTTTAACTCTATATATGATCTTTTTTAAAAGAAAGAAAAGTGGCATAATTGTCGAAGAAGGAGGGAGAGGCGACGAACGGGTGGTGAAGAGAGAGAGGATCTAGACTTTAGATTGGTAAGTTGAGATAAAGGTTGAAGAGAGACATACTATGATTTACTAGTTCGTTCTAGGGTTGTGCTTGAGGGAGTGAAGGTAGATGAGTCATGGGTATTGTCGTATTGGGTAAGGGTGTACTTTTATAGGTTAGATTGACATTGAAAGAGATGAGATGTGAGTGTTATTACCTTGTTGGTTGTTTGTAGAAGGGGCAAATGTGTGAATTAAGGTTAGGGTAAAATGAATTAAGTTTATTTTGTTATTTTGTTTTTCAAAACTAATAAAATATATTAATAAAAAATATTGTTTTTCGGTTGAAACCAAAATATAATTCTAAAAAATCAAACCAAATTGAAATAATTTCAGTTTTCAATTAGGCTTTTTATCATAATTTTTACTTAAAAACCAAACTAAAATTGAAAGTTTGGTTTGGTTTTTAGTGAAGTTTTCTCACCCCTATCTACCTCATGTTGATGATCTCATTGTCATAAGCGACCCGCTCGAATGATGTTCTTGTCATCATGGGTGATCTATCATTTACTAATGGTCTTATTATTACGGGCGATATACCCGGTACTAGTGGTTTTATTATCACGAGGGACCTACCCCTCTATTGCTAGTCTTATTGTTATAGACGACTCGTTCCTTATTGGTGATCTTATTGTCATAAGAGACTTGTCCTTCTATTAGTGGTCTAATTATCATGGGCAACTACCCCTTATTGATATTTTTATTGATGGTTTTATTGTCACGGACGACATACCCCTGTACTAGTGGTCTTATTATCACGGGGGACCTATCCCTCTACTACTAGTCTTATTGTCGCAGATGACCCGCCTCTTACCGATGGTCTTATTGTCATAAAAAACTTGTTCTTCTACTAGTGGTCTAATTATCATGGGCGACCTACCCCTTATTGATAGTTTTATTTTCACAAATGATCCGCCCCTTTATTGGTGATCTCATTGTCACGGGTGACCTACCCCTCTACTAATGGTCTAAGTGTCACGGATGAGCTAACCCTTACCGATGGTTTTATTTTCATAGGTGATATGTCCCTTTATTAGTGGTCTCAATGTCACAAGCAACCTACCCTTCTACTAGTGGTCTTATTGTCACGGGCGACTCGTTACTTTACTAGAGGTCTTATTGTCAAGAGCGACATGCATATAATATAAAATTTTATTTAATTCTATTCAATAAATAAATATAAAAAATAATAATTAATAGAAAGACTTCTTTTATTATTGATAAAATAAATGATGCAATGGTACAAGAACTCAAAACTTCCAATCAATATTAGATCTTGGGCACCTACACTAATAGATTTCTCTTAGTTTCTAACCCTAAGTGTGTTGCCAATTAATCTCAAGCCTCAAAATCGGTAACAACACATTCATCCTTAGAAAATCATCATCAAATTCCACTTGCAAAAAACCAACGAGATATAGTAGTAACAAGGTCCAAAAATTTATCCTCTATTCCTTTGGTTTTGGTTCAAGTAATCCTAATGCTAGGCTCATTTCATTTTACATATATTAATTCCTAGATTCCTTTTTAATTTAATTTAATTTAATTTGAAATAAGATAGTGAGGATTGGATATTCGATCCGGAAATAGGGTTTAGATTAGTTCTAAAGGGACGAAGAGAAACTATTTAAAGAGGAGAATTAGTCCAATGGTGACAAAAATCTAAGGTTTCGAATGAGAAAGGAGATGGAAGTAAAGAAGAATAGAAGAGAGGGAAGAAAGATGAACAAGAAAGGGAGACGTATGAGGTAGCTTTGATCAAGAATTGATTAGGAAAGAGAGAAAATTATGTTTATGGACTAGGTTTAATCCAATAAAAAATAAGTATGGGTTGGGCCGAGCACAACCGATGTGAGACAAAAGCTTATCCGAGTTTCGAGTCCAACCTAGATCCGAAAAAAAAAAAAAGGAATAAATGAGAAGCTGGAACTAGTCCAGACTTCCAACTTCACCCGAACAAAATAAAAAAATAAAAAACATATATGCAAGGCATAATGAACTAGAATTAGTCTAGTAAGGAAATTATATATATATATATATATATATATATATATATATATATATATATATATATATATATAAAGGAATAAGGCTTAGGCCAATAGGCCTAGCCTTATGGGTCCGGTCCAATGTCCAAAGGGAAAGTTATATATATATATATATAAATTGAATATGAATCTTTTTATTTATGCATTTTATTTACCACATTAATTTAGATTTAATTTTTTAGATGCTTTGAATTTATTTAGTAAAATGCTTAATTTTAGATTTTACTTTACTAATTAGTTTAGATAACTAAACGATGGATAAATTGTCAAGTCTCCTAATTTTTTAGGGACCGATGATGATTTTCAATCGATAAAAAAATAACAAAAAAATAAAAATGATGAAAAAGGGAAGCTAATAGTTAATTTTAATTTTAGAATTTGTTTCAAAATTAGTTTAATAGTTAATAGGTGGATGAATTATTGAGTCTCTTAATTCTTAGGGATCGATGATGATTTTCCCATTGAATCACAAGTCATCAACATTTAATAATCGGGATGTTCTCTAACATGCATGTTATTTCGAGACTTAAAATGGATCCGATGTTTGAACCGATATGTCATCCGATGAAGAGAATCAATGATTGTTTCAATACAATGCCATGCCCAAAACTAAAAAAATTTAATTGAACTTGGAAATTAGAGTTTAAATTGAGAATAACTTGACACAAATAAAATAATTTAAGAGATGAATTTATGACTAAACTAGACGTGATATCTTTTTTAGAAAAGGTGGTCTTTGGGCGATCTATATCTTTCCAAAGCATAACCAACTCCTTACCTAAGAATCTTTACACCAGTGCTATTTTTTAAATTTCTAGCTCTTTAATACTAGGTAGCGACTCCAAACTCAATAACAACTCGCATCCCCAAAATAACCTATAAATGTTATGCAAATCTCTAAACACCTAGATTTAGATTTAGATTTTCTTTGGGAGTCCTGTTTGATGTCGGGTAGCGACAATTCACATGGTCGTGCGCCTCTTTAAGCATTCTTCGTGGCTTTGGCTTCTCCTTACTTTGGCTTAGGCTTATTTGCTTCGATTCGTCATTTTTCCTACAAAACTTAGAATTGTTATCTTGATCATAGTTTTTTAAATATAATACAATCAGTATCGGAAAATTCAATGTAAAAGAATATAAAAGTTATACAAATTATGCACTCATCAATATATAATTGATAAATTTTAAGGTCAATGACTATTTATACTTTTCTCGTTTATGGCATTTGCGAGCAAGTGCAACCAATAAACTTAAGGATGACAAAAATATTTGCCAAAGTGGAGATTGTTGGGCTTATACCTCATATTCCTTAAAGTAGTGGACAAGTAAATAGAGTAGAGTATTGACTAAGAATTATTCGTCTTCAAAAGATTCTTTATTTGGAAATAATTCCTTGTTCGTTAAGAAATTTTTTTTTTTGTCTCTAAAATATTCTTTGTTCACTAAGGATTTCAGCCATTACAAATAAGTAATTAGATGTATGGTTTTAGTGTGTACAAAATACAAACGTTGAGAAGTTTTCTTTCTTTGAGTGTAAGAGTGGATATACAAAGAGTTTTGAGATTGAGTATTAGGTACAAAATTGACAATTATATTTTTGTATTAATTTTTTTATAATAAAGAATTACTTTCAAATTTGCCAAATCATATTAAATTTTATGTATCTCTTTTTTTCAATTTTGTTAAAAAAATTTTTTTTATTGAATTATATTGTTCATGGTCATGCGTTGAATCTCGTATTCTTTAAATTTCCCAACAAATCTTTATGTTAATTATTTTGAGTGTATTCTTCATTTATTTTTTCATTAAATTTTCTTGCGATTGTCTAACTTCAATCCCCCGATTCGAATAGTGTAAATTACTATTCACAACATGTATGAAAGCCACGCCAAACTCAACTCAACAATTATAAAAGTTGAAGTTAGTGGAAATGCACAAATTAACTGATGACGAAACACTTTTGCATGTATTTTATTTTCCTTGGGACAGATGCATACGGGTTTTCTGTTTGGCTTGCGTGCGTCTTGCATATTACTGGCTATTATATAATAGTTGTAGGACCAATAATTTTTGAGTGTTGCCGAGTCACTTCTCACTAACAATATTACTGCCAAAGCCTTTCATAGGGAACTCAGAAATTAACCCGATCAAAAGCTTAGAGAGATAGCGAGAGAAAGAGATGGCAGAGATGTATTGCTACAAGGAGGTGTTGCCATTCGCAGCCATGGTGACCATGGAGTGTGTCAACGTGGGCCTAAACACACTTTTCAAAGCAGCCACTTTGGCAGGCATGAGCTACCATGTTTTTGTTCCCTATACTTATGCTGTAGCTGCTCTTGTCCTCCTTCCTGCTCCTTTCCTTTCCCACAGGTTAATTTCCTCTTCCCCTCTTAATTACCTGATAATAGGTGGTTTCTGAAAGAATATGCATGGACTAATTAAGGATTTTATGTTGCTTTTTATTTTGTTGCAGATCAAGAGTGCTTCCTCCACTAAGCTTCTCTATACTCTGTAAAATTGGTCTTCTTGGGGTTACTGGGTATAGATATATATTGTAGAAATTTTATCGAAAACCAAGCAAGTCGGCTTTTTCTTCTTCTTATTAATAATGATTTGTTGGGTTAATTGTGGTTTAGGAGTGCGTCTCAGATCATGGGCTACACAGGCATCAATTATAGCTCCCCTGCTCTTGCTTCAGCCATCAGCAACCTCACACCAGCATTTACTTTCATACTTGCCATCATTTTCAGGTACTTTCCTCTTCTATGAATTTTTGTTGTTTGCATCAATACTATTATATATATATATATGATTTTAACAAATTAAATTCTGATTCAAGTTTTTGCTTATTTAGTATTTATTAATTTTGTCAGAATCCATGCTTTTGTTTGATTGGTTAGAGCCCACATGTCCCTTCCTCAAATAGCTCTCTTAACTTTTCAATTAGTTTGGTCTTACTGTGTTTGTTTTAAGCTATTTTGTTGTTTTTAGGGTGGGTCAGGACAGTACTTTTTTCCCCCTCCATGGACATGATTAGATATTACAGTTAAAATGAGTGACTAACTTTTGTATAGAAAGTAAATAAATTCTGTGTTTTTAATTAAATTTGGAATTGAACCTGTGATAATGCTTAAAAACCTTAACAAGCTACCTAAATCTTGCCAAATAGACACAATTATGGAAACATAAAGTAATCATGGAATCAATTGAATCTTATCTTTTTTTTTTTTTTGTCATCTATTGTGTGTATTCAGCAATATTTTCAGTGAATTGCATCTCCTTTCTAACGTTCTCTTAAAATCTATTTGGAAAAGAAATGGAAAATTCCTTTTTATGAAGTAAAAGAACAAAATTTATATTATACTTTTTAAAGACCAATAAACTAACTTTTATAATTATTGTTTCAAAAAAACTCAGATTTTATTACACTATTTGTATTACCCTTTTCGTGCAATTTTTTAATTACTATTTGATGGGTTTTTCTTTGCTCCAAAAAACTTTTATTATAATTTTTAAAAATTTCTTATTTTTCTCACTTATACATTAGTTCATGATTCTAATATATATAAACTCAAATGAAATTATATATGATTATATTTTATAAAAATTTCCTTTCATATTTATGAATTCTTTGTTAAAAAGAAAAACTAATGATCCGAGATGTGTTAAACTTTGGAACATAATCTCATCATAATACAAGAGTACTGCTTTCGTTATAATCTCATCAAACTTTGAAAATATATATTTTGGTTAAATGGCCAAAAACACATTTTATCATTAAAAAAATAACATAACATACTATAAAGTGTTTCCCAGAAAAGTTAAATAGCAAGATTTAATCTATGGTAGAACTCACTTGTCATTTAAATCTAATAAGTGAAGTTAATTTTTCCATTTTCCCAATATATTATTACCAACTAAAATTATCAATAAAACCAATTATTGTTGTTTTCACAAATATCTTTACTAAACTATTAATCGAAATTGAAGGGTCACTAGGCACCACTAGTTTTCAATTATTTTCAATAGTTGAAAGATGAAAATTCTTCAGCTGGAATCAAAAGCAAGGATGTAGACTAATAAAGACAATAGAGTTCTGATTCCTCACATCAATTTCTGCTTTCAGTCCTTTTCTTACAAGGACCACAATACAGTTCTGATTCCTCACATCTAATTATTGTTGTTTTCGCAAATATCTTTACCAAAATATTGCTATCAAAGAATGGAAAGGGTTGCGTTGAGAAGAACAAGTAGTCAGGCCAAAGTCGTGGGCACCGTCTTGTCAATAACAGGTGCTTTTATAGTAACTCTCTACAAGGGCCCTCCAATAATTATATCGTCATCCTCCTCCATTTCACTTCATCAAAATCTTCACTCGACAAATACCAATTGGATCCTTGGTGGCATTTTTCTCACAGCTGAGTATGTACTAGTTCCGCTATGGTACATTCTTCAGGTATTTTGTACAGATCACAATAATTTTTTCTTAACAAAGTTAAAAATTTAGAAACTGGAATGATGTTTCTTAACTTGTAGACGCAGATAATGAAGGAGTACCCAGCAGAGTTAACGGTGGTCTTCTTTTACAATTTATCTGTTAGCATCATAGGGGCTGTTGTAGCACTAATTACAGAAGGAGCTTCAAGTGCTTGGGTAGTGCGGCCAAATATAGCATTAGCCTCCATTCTTTGCTCGGTGAGAGACCATTGCTAAACAGACATTGAGTTCCTTTTACTTGCCATTGTATATATATTTTTTCTTGTGTGGGTGAGTGTGTGCTTGGTACAGGGGCTCTTGGGGTCATGCTTGAACAATACTGTTCACACATGGGCTCTGCACTTGAAGGGACCGGTCTTTGTAGCAATGTTCAAGCCATTGTCAATTGCCATTGCTGTTGCGATGGGCGTCATGTTCCTTGGGGATACTCTTCATCTCGGAAGGTATGCCAAATCTCTTCAACCCGACACAACCTAATTTATATACACTAACAACTATAGCGTTTCTCACTCTAAACTTCGTGAGTAGGGATGGCAATGGGACGAGGCGGGGATCGCCATCTCTGTCCTCGTCCTGCTTCTGAAAATTTTACCTCATCCCTATTTCGTGTCTTCAAACGGGGCAAAATTTGTCATACCATCTCCGCTTTAAACGAGAAAGGGGATCTCTGCAGGCACTCGGTAGGGCAAATAGGACAAAAAAATTATCAATTTTTTTTTCATCTCATCTTATCTTATTCTACTATCAAATTTTAAATTATGGCAAATATATATATAAAATAAATCATAAAAGTCACTAGTCACAGATTTTATATAGAGTATAATTATAATCTTAATGATGAAAATCATGAAACGGGGCAAACATGGAGGGGTAAGCAAATACCATCCTCGTCCCATCTCCGTTTATAGGGCACCTTGCCTAACCTTGTTCCTTGATCAATACGAGGAATCCCTGTTTTGATCGGGGTGAAACGGGACGAGGCGATGTGGGGCTTCACAAATTGCCATCCCTATTCGCGAGATGCATGAAAGTACATAAAAGAAAATTGATTTTTTTCTTTTCTTTTCCTTCGTTAAACCCTAGTTCATACCCTTTGCCCTATTCAAATTACTTGATTTGAAAATAAACAATATTATTTTATTTTCTAGAAAAAAAAACAATATTAGTATTTTAAATTAGGCAATGGTTAATCATAATCGATATGAAAACTAATAATTAAATGTCCCAAAAAATAGAAAAGTACTATTAATAATTAAGAAAAGTTGATGCTTTAATTAAAAAGTTTACAAAACCAACACTTGATAATCTACTAATCAAGTGTTATTTCCTTTAGCTAGCATTATTAACTAATATAATAATTTTCATGATATTTTTAGATTATTGTGCAATTCAATTAGAAAGTCTAGGTTCAAAGAAGAGAGAAAAAAACAATTGCAATTGGTATATTATGTTTGTTCTTAGAGTATATATCTACATTGATTAGTTAAATAAAAAATGATTAATGTATAAAGTTGAAAAGGCCTAACGACATAGTAAAGACCCTAGAGTCCAAGCCACTTGATAGGCTTCAAAAGATGAGTTACAAGTGAAGAAGAGTTTTAAAGCACATATCCCATATTAAATATTTAAACAAAAAAATGATTAATACATAATGCTAAAAAGGAGTCACCCACCATAAGGCTTAAGTCTTTTAGATAGAACTCAATCTCAACTATCTAATTCTATAAAAGGGAGTGTTAATGCACATATCTCACATTGAATAGTTAAATAAAAAATGATTAATATATAAGATTGAGAAATGGTCACCTATCACTAGACTTAAATTTTTTGGATGGAATTCAATCTCAACCATCTAAACCTATATTTGTTAACCAAGGTATAAATCACCCCTATAAGAGTAAACATCGGCTATGTAACAATTCTAGTATGACATTACAAAAGTACAACATTATTTAGTAATTTTAAGGAGTTCGCCTAATGATTAAAGATATTTGTTCCTTCTTTAATTTTTTGAGTTGAAATGTTGAGAGTAGTTAATATAAAAATTTATTTAAGTTTTTTATATGCACTAGATTGATGTAAAAGATGCATTTTTAATATGGTTCAAAAAAGGCTTTAATTTTTTATTGTCGCATAAGTTGATAATTCAAAGATATTTTTGGTTAATGCACAAATTGACTCAAAAATACTCTAATGACCATCGATAAAAATATATATATATATATATGTAGCATATATTGTTGGCATCATGGTACCACATGATAAAACAAGCACAAAATCTCGAGTTAATTATAACTTAGTCTCTATAGTTTATTGAAAGTAATTAATTAGTTCATGTGGTTTTAAAATAATTAAATAGTTCTTTAACTATAATTGGTCATCCTCAATTAAATAGTTCATGAGGTTTGAAAATGTGAATTCAAGTCGCAACGTATTCGGAATTCCAACGATTTATCACTTTGTTTTTGTAGAAAATTTATACTTATTACATTCAATATAGCTTCTAAATGTAAAATATATTTCAACCACTATATGTATTATAAAATATATTAAGATAATATTTCATCTATTAATTTTTTTTTAAAAAAATTCAAATGCCACACAATTTAGAATAATAAAATCAAATTATCTTAATAAAAATTTATCTTGAATATAGAAGGAAGTACAACAAAAAAATAAAAATTAATAAATAATAAATAATTTTTATTTCTTATCCATATAATAGCAAAATAAATATTATTAATTCAAATTTTAGATGATAGTGCTACAAATTATACCTTTATCTCGTAGCTTTAATTACCGTAAGAATTGCATGAATTGAACATTTGTGCAAGAAGTTATGCCTAAAATTCTTGACTACGTGTGACTCATAAAATTTCTGTTTTTTTCAAATTTATTTAGAAAAAGAACTCTAATTGCACAAATTTTCTCCAAGTTTCCTTGATTTTCTGTTTTATATCAGCCCTTTTTTTTTTTTTTTTTTTTTTTATTCTCTTCAATTTCATCTTCATTTCAATTCATTGGCTTTTTTTTTCTTCTAGTTTTTCCCCCTTTTTTCCCACTCTTTTTTTTATGATTTTTTTCTTATCTTAATTTTTTGACAGAAAATAGAATGATGAAAAATATAATAATACCAACTCTTGAAAAAACAATAAATAAGTCAATTTTTTTTCCCCACAAAATTGAATTAAAAAAGAATAAGAAATTTATATGTGATTTTTTGAAAATAAAGTCATCACTATAGAAGGATATGCATTAATTGAACTTTATAATGAATAAATTCTAAATTTCAACCTATTCTCATATTTAAATGCTTAATATTTTTAAAATATAATATTTATTATAAAAATATTGTTTTTATTTTTGGGTCGATTATCATCCGGTCCGATCAAAATAGATTCATATTTGATTTATTTAATACACGGCTTCATGGATTCATATAATTTTCGAACTTGGATTAAAAACAAAATTGTTTTCTAGATCCATTTATTAATTACATCAGATTTGGATCAAATTTGGATTAAATCATATCCATTTATAGCCTTAGTCTTACATGCTTCTCTTTTCTTTATTATATTTTTAAAAAATAAAAGAAAAATAAATTAGGAAAAAAAAAGGATAAAATTAAAGAGGAACAAATTTAGTAACAACTTGAAAAACATAAGGATTAAAAATATAGTTCCTAATATGATCAGGATTAATTGATTAGTTTTGTTAAACTACAAATTACTAGGTTATAATTAACTCCATAATCTCCCGCAACTTAGATTTTTCACTTTGAAATCTATGCAAGAAAAAACAAAGGCACTTTATTTTGTGTGAATTGCACTGCTTAGGGGAGGGAAATAGTAATAACTACTGCTAACTCTGTCTTATATTTTGCAGTGTGATTGGAGCAACAATTATATCTATTGGGTTTTACACCGTAATGTGGGGAAAAGCCAAAGAAGAACTGGGTGGTGACTGCAATATTGCTGGTAACCCGGAATGCTCATCTGCGCAGAAGGTGCCTCTATTACAAAGCTACAATATTACAAAGTTGCAAGATGAACAAGTGTAGGGCATGCAGACAGACTCAATTTGTACATAAATGAACTCTTGTAGGGCGTTCTGCAGACAGGCTTAATTTGTACAGAAATGAACCACTGCAGGGTATGCTACAGACAGACTTAATTTGTACATAAAATGAACTTCAAAAAACGAATTGCTCAACTAACCATCCAAGTCTGTATAATAATAATAAATAAATAAATAAGTGCATCCATGGTTAGATTTACTCAGATTTTTCTTTTCCATAGAGAACTTTTTTGAAAGTCTGAAGATACAGAGAGTAAGTACAGAGGCTTGGAACATATAGACGTAATGGTTTGGTCTGGGTTGAGTGGTGACTATAGGTCTCTTCTCGATTTTTTAAGGTGTTATGCCTACTCCAAGCACCGTGGTGATACACGGTTCCATCCTCTCTCTCCCTCTCTTTATCAAGCTCTGGCTAATTGCTTCGTTTCCACGATGAAGAAAGTGACTTTTTTGCGATCTTATTTGTGTCTTGTCATTTTCTCTTCAGTTGAGTGTCAGATTCGTCTATTTTAGCAAAAGAGGTTTGTGTATGGCATCGCTTATGGTGCGAAGGTATTTAGAACTAACAAATTAACTCTCTAATTTAATTTCAAATTCACCTCAAAATAAACTCACAATAAACTTAGAAAATTTTGGACAAATAATGATTTACATAAAATGAACTTAGGAATACAAACACAGCAAAGTAACTTTTCTTCGACAAGTATGTTCTTGGAAAATTTTCATCTTTCCTTAAAAATAACCATTCCCCTGCCTTTTTCTTTGTAACTAATGTATTTTTAAGATTTTTAGTCTCCTTCATAAATTACGAAGTCACTCTGTTTTTAACTTTTTTTAGTTTAGAAATCTCATATGTTGGATAGAAATAAAAAGCAAGGGTAAGAAGCATTACTTGCTTTTGTAATAGTTTTCCAAACATGCAAACCCATATCTGGTTTTACCTCCAAATGAGTACCCAATAAAATTGAATCCATTACCTCTTCTTTTTTTATTAAAAAAAATCACCTTAGAATTCGTCATTGTTGACAATACAACCCACCTATTCGTACGTCCACATAATGATCTAAAGTTTTCCGCATCGAAGGGTAAGGATAAGATTAGAAAAAGAAAAGTTTTCTTCGCTCCACTAAGAAATGTAATTGAGAGTGTGATGAAGAAACGACACTATATATATTTTTTTTCTTGAAAAGCATGCCATATTGGAGGTAAAAGCCATCATCTGTTTTCTTTTATGCATATAAGGGCCTTTTTTCAATCTTTCATTTTGAAAAAGTAAGAATCCTTAAAGAGACAAAAGGATCTACATGTCTCAATACAATGAGGGTTAGGTGGAAGACAATCTTTCCTCATCAAAGGTTTTATTTCTGTTGCTTCACGCTTTCTATTCTTACTATTCTTGAAGGTTATGTGCCTACAAAAGCATCAACGCAAAGGCATAAGAAAAAAGAAGCAAGCGAACTTGAAAACAGTAGTAAGACACAAATTCAAGCAAGGAAAGACCATCACACACACACCTCTTCAAATATAATTGATAATCTTTCTTGCTAATATATCACAATGTTTAATATTTTCATAAAACATCCATGTAGCAATACATTTCCAACAAATAAAATTCATCATCGAAAGCATGTTATCTTGTGTTGTTAGGCACAAAAAAAAAAAAAAAAAAAAAAAGCAAGAAAACGACGGGATTTCATGACCAAAAATCACTTAACAGTAATATCAAAATTACTAAACAATCAATGAATTTTTGTTTGCAAAGAATATAGACTTATTGTAAGCTTTCAATATGTATTAAATTTCATGCCGAAAATTGGTTTTTTTTTTCGCATCAGAATGCATAAAAACTCAAATTTTTCCATGCTCGAGTATTTTATGATGATTCCCACAACTTGAGTTATACAAAATTAGCATTGATTGCATAAAATTTCATGTATTTTTCTATCGAAGGCATATTAATAAGCTTTTACTAAAAACTAGCATGCATGCATATAAAATCCATAAATAATATGACAAATCTTTTTTGTCAAAATTAATCAAACTAACTTATAAATGATTTAAAAAAAATATATAAGCTCTTAATTTTTTTTCACCTTTAATTATATGTTTTCCATTGTATTTTACAAAATCCTCAATTATTAAAAGTCAGGATTGTTAATCCTCTTACAAAAATCTCAATAACAAAATCATGTCTTTTTCATAAAAGATGATTTACAAGAATAAAATCCTAATGGGATTTTTAGAGAATAAAAAAATCGAAACAAAAGTAGAAAATTTTATTAAAAGAAAGAAAAGCACAACTCTCTTTGTTCTTTGGATGTTTCATGAATTGCTAGGGTTAAAGTTACTACTTTTTATAGTTAATATTAGGGATAAAGTTAATAGGTAATGAACTAAATTGATGTGGCATTCAGTTAGTGTAATTGAATGGAGAGTTAGCATTAGTAGTCAATTACAACAATAGTTAATAGCCACATAAAGAGAATGGAAAATGGGAATTGTATTCAAATATTGAAGATAAAAAATCGAAATAGACTTCTCCTCTCAATCTTGTTTTTCTTTTTCTTCATGTTTATCCTCTCACCAAAATATCTTACGAGTTTTTAAATTAAACCTATTGACCTAAACTCCTTTAGCCTAATTAGTTACTAATTAATTTGGATTATCTAAATAAATTAGGTTAGATATTTTTAGGAGGTCCACATTAGGAAATAATTTCTTAAATTACCCTTAAACCTAAATTAGGAAACTAATTTTCTTTATAGGTAACTTACTTCCAAATTTGGAATTGACTTCAAAATTAGAAAACCGATTTACGAAATAAAAAACTTCCCATTTTAGAAAATTTCCATTTAGAAAACTTTTCATTTTAAGAAATTTTTTTCAAAATTGAAAACCCTTTCCAAAATTTTTGCTTCTCTTTTATCATGTGAATGCTTAAACTTATGTACGTGACTCAATAAGTTCCAAAATATGTTTGCAATGTATCAAGAATAAAAATCACCTATTTTATTTATTGATATATAAGTCAATATTGGCCTCTAATAAGGCATCATGATCGCCCAATTCTATTAGAGGATTAATTAATCCGTAATCACCTTTCATGAGTATGGTTACCATATAACTTAATCCTCATGTCAATTTATCACAAGTATGATCTCAAACTTCGTTATTAGTTTATTCGATTATGAGCATAAAAGTTTTCTTTGATTCTCAAATGTCTTAGCTCTCGAATAAACCATCTATGCTCTATTGGTGTACTCCTAGTGTGCCTACAGATTTCTTGAGCAAACATTAATTGAAGTGCGATGTGATTTTAGCATACAAAGAATGACATGTACTATCTTAGTCATCCACCTACCTTCATTAAATTCCTAGTGCGTCGAACGAATTATCTACGTGCAAATCTTTACTTGATCCATCAAAACGAGTGTCAAAATACATAAATTCTCTAATGAGATAACCATTATGACTTCAAGTCAAAGGACCAGCTTGTACTCATCTTTTATGAGATTCTCATACACTAAACCAAATGGGGTTTCATAATGAGTCAAGTCTAGTGATATATTCTCTAACATAAATCACCTAAGTGCTTGTTTTGGCATCATCATGTCAATAGGTATGAGATCTTCTATTACTATCTTATAGCATGAACATAGCACTCACAAGTCTAACCACATATAGCCAATGTCCATTGTTGATAACGCTATGACTTGGGATATTTAACGATATCATTTAATTGCATTAATGTTTCACTAAAAAAAATAGCAATTAGCAATGAAAAATTCTTTTGCTAATTGCCTAAATTTCGTTGCTAATAGTGAATAGCGACGGAACATTTTTCATCACTATTTCGCTTGTGGCTAATTTTTTATAACAAAAAATCCAATCCATCACTATGTAAAAATAGACCATCGCTAATCTTGTCATGGGATCTCGTTGTTTCTTTCGTAGCTCTTTCATCATTAATTTTGAAAGTAAATTTATCGCTAGTTTGTTGTTAATCCATCGTGAAATTTGAAAACGAATTTGTTACTAGTCGTTTGCTACTTTTAAGAACAAATTTGTCACTATTCCATCGTTATTCAATCACTAAATTTGAAAATGAATGTGTCACTAATCCATCGCTATTCGATCATTAATTTTAAAAAAATTTATCACTATTCCATCGTGAAATTTTTTGATAGTTTTTTAATTTTTTTAAATTATTAATATGGAATTTAATATTTAATATTTAATAATTATAAGTAATAATGTATATATTAAAAATAAAATAATATTAATAATATCATTTTAGAATATTTTCCATAAAAAAAAATTGACTAAATACTCTATCAATCATCCTACTCGTCTAATCTCATATCCTCGTCCCGATACTATGTGAAGGGCTCGGTTGGAGGATCGAATGAAGGCCGAACTTGAGACCGAGTGGAAGGAATGGTAGATTGCTAACCGATCGACGGATCTATAGGCACCCCGATTGTTTATGCCACCCTCATCACTAAAGATGCCATCGACTTGTACCGAGATTTCGGACTATAAATAATCCGTTGTTGCTATGAGATCCGGCTATACTACTCTACCACTTGGCTTTGAAGCTCATCTTGTATCGGCTGCATCCCTTTCATTACTTCCCTCGTAGCCTCATAATCCTTTCGAAGCTCTTCATTAGCCAAATCGATCGTGTAATGCGACGTCGCAAAGGAGGAGCCGTCGCCACTTGACCGGAACAAATAATGCATTGACTATGTGCCTATACTATAAAATCTTTTCTTCTTCTCTCCGATAGCCTCAAGGTATATGGCATTCTAGCCAACTTCGGCTCTAAAATTCCTTATGCCCTCCGAGCTACAACTTTCTCATTTATGAGTCGCTCCACATGCTCCTTCATAATCAAAATAATGATATCATCATTAGAGGATTAAAATAAAATTTGAATTATCTTTTCATATTTAATATTTTTATTGAAAAACACTTACCATT